TTTTCTTCTTCACAATTTTTAATTGCTTTAAAACACAAGCTCTTTTCTCGGCTTCCTTGATAGAAAGATGACCATCCGTTATTTCTTCTATTAGGCCAAATTTCTCTTCTTCTGTCAAACCTTGCATATTCATGAAAACCTAAATAAGATAGAATATGTATTACTGTTTAAAATTTACCTATTTTTACTTTTTCATTTTATGTTCAAAGAAAAAAACTTATAATAAGCGTAATTAAATTTTCCCTTAATTTAATGAACAACTTAATAAAAATAGATTTTTTTCTTTAATTATATATACAATCAAAGCTTGTCAATTCCTTTTCATACTTTAGTAGTTAAATATTTGTTATCAAAAGCTCTTAATTTTTACACCATTTATATTGTGTTTATTAATAAGAAATTATTTCTTGTTCTTTTTATAAGGTGGCAAAATTTCTTCAGACATGTCATAGATATGACAGGGGAGTTGAGTCTCTTAACATAATAAAAACTACCGTAATATTCAATGATCTATATGTTTGTACGTTAAGCTCTATCCACACTATCAAATTTTCTTTGACAAAAAAATGTGACATGCCCATGTATAGTAATGCTATGCCTATATATAGTCATGATGTGATGTCATCATGCCCATATATAGGCATATCACACTTTTTTGTCACACAAAATTTGATGGTGTAGACAGAACTTTAGAAATGATAACAAAAATTTCCTTTAAACTAGATTGTCAGAAAATGTTGTAAATAATTTTTTAAAAATATCAAACTCGCTAATTTTTAGGTTTGACAAAACTGTCTCAAAGGGGAAAAAATGCGTGCTTATTTCTTTTTTCAAAACACTCATGAGATTGTAAACCACCTAGGGTTATCACTTGCATTCCTAAATACTATCAACTATGTGAAATACCACCTTGTAGCACTAATGAGACCCCGAATATTAATGCTAAGTCCACTGAATTTGTCAGTATTTCTTATGAGCCTGTTTAAACTTAAGAAACACGAGCCGAATGAGGCTAGCCCCATATTTCGCTCCATGCTTGGATTGATGTAGATACGCAAATCCTTAGCAGAACGGATAGCATGATCCATAGCAGCCTTCAATCTTTTACTAACACAGGGTAAGAATTGTCTAAAGGACATTTCGCGGCAAATGGCATATTCAAAAATCCGAACCAGAAGTTTAAATGGCAACCTGTCAAATGGAAATATGTCTATCTGTGGGTATCCATCCACTGTTTACTCCCTCATCACTAACAGGTTTTACATAATCATCATCATCATTATCCTCATCTCTATGAGACTTGTGAGTTAGTGAGTTTAAATCATCTTCACTGAGTGAGTTAATATCATCATCATCATCTCTAACTAAGTTTACATCATCATGTCTGTGTGATTTTGCATCATCATCCCTAAGCCAGTTTACATCATCATCGCTGAGTGAACTTACTTACTATCTTCCCTGAGTGAGTCTACGTCATCATCTATGAGTGAAATTACATCACCATCATCATTCATGAGTGAGTTTACATATCACATGAAGCTGCTTCATCCACGTTGCCTTTATCTACTTGCCTTCATTTTGAAAAATGTCATCATACAAATATATCTGAGCACTGTTTTGTATGATAGAAACAACTTGGTTCCTATCATTATTAAGTGAAACAAAATGTTCCCCACTTTCTTCTGCTAAATGGCCCAAAATTATGTAAGGAATGTATTGTATTTGCACAGAAAAAATATCTGAAATCGCCTGTAGAATTATTTGGTCACCATACGTTCTATCCAGATCCATTTGTGTAAGGTAACTTTGTGGCGATTCTGCTATAAAAGAAGACCAGTTAGATGTTTGCCTTTGAAGGAATCGAAGAACTTCAGTTCGAAGAGTTTTTTATGAGACCTATATCCCCATCGCCTGTAATTGACCTGTGACAGCGGAAAGTTGGCAATTGCCATCACCNNNNCCACGGGGGGGGGGGGGGGTTAGTTTGCACAGAGAGACCATTAATATTATTATTTTTATTATTATTATTATTATTAATAATAATAATTATTATTATTATTATAGCAGAATCGTCATGGCCAATTTCCAAGTGTTCAAATCGGTCTTGTTGGTCACACCCTAGTAGCCATACCAGGTTTTGTCTGCACTTTGAGGTCCAGAGAATTTTACTTCAGAAATTGGTTAAGGGGGGTCCAAGAATAATTTTTAGCTTGGTAACACATTTTAAAAATGTGGCGAAAGGTCAAACGGTCAGGGTCAAAGGTCATAGCTATAGAGTCGTCATATCTCCGCAACCACTGGTGGTAGAAAACGACCGAAAATGCTGTTTCCAACCTTTGACACGTTTCAAGGTCATAACAATAGGGTCATTATATCTCAGCAACCACTGGTGGTAAAGAGTTAATTGTGGTGTCAATATGTTCGGATCATTAATGTTTCTATTTGGTCTAATAGAAAAGTTTGCTAAAAAATGACCGGAAATAATCCCTGAGTAGGTAAGTTAGTAGCACATAACATCGATTTGCATTGAAAATTTTAAAATTTAGTGGCAAATGCGTTTCTATTCCATTTTACCATTCTCTGGCTGATAAGTAATGCCTTGCTTGAATGGCTATCGGCAGAGGGGGAGTAAGGTATTATATTAAATAGCTGACCAAAACCTTACCAAAAAAAATGATTAATATCATATTCATATTTTCGTAAGTACTTGGCCAATTTTAACGGGAAATGCGTGAAAATGTTCAAAATCATGAAATGGAACATTATTTGTAGCCCACTATATGATTACAATATGTATCAGTCAAGAACTGCTTATATAATAAATGTGAAAACCTAACAGATTAATCTCTAGATAAAGGCTAATCCTTTTTTTCCATTTAGCCATGTATCTCGATCTGTTATGTCCGCTTAAATAATATTATATTGGTTTTCTGTGTTTTTAACCTTATACCGTTCAACGACTATTTTTTTGGCTGCAACTTCATTTCTCATTGAAGCAATTAGGAAAAGCCCTATGTTCTGTTGTACAAACAGACATGGTAAGTCTAGTCTACTATTATTATTATTATTATTATTATTATTATTATTGTTGTTGTTGTTATTATTCGTGTTATGATTATTTATGACAAGGTGTTACAAATGTGTAACACTGAGGGCAGTTTCATAGCTTGTATAATCTTTACAATAGATAATTATGAGTACTCTCTATAAAGGACGCAAATGACTGACTCAAAATTGCTCCTCTAGTATAACCCTTTTATTGCTTGTTCACAAACCCTGTTAGATCACTCGCATTTGTTTGCGTGGTAACTGTAAATAACAATAAAATTACATACAGTATCATCATGTCATTAATCATTTGCATAACTATCATAATAGAGCATAATTACATTCATATGTGAATTACCATACAAGACATGAAAACGTCATATAGTGCTGGATTATTATAATTGTACTATAACATTAACGATTGAACTTGTGAGATATGATAAGACTTACAAAGCTGTGAGCCACGATAACTCACTGTACTATTAGTGTAGTGAATTCAGCATTATTTTCACCTAGAGTATGAATAAATACATAAGACGTTCTAATATAAAGTCAAAGATAACAACTATAAAACTAAACATGTTATTCTCCGTTTCCAACTATTCTAAGGATACATCAGGGATCATATCATCTATACATCAGGGATCATATTCATGTTAGCCAAATGAGGGCGACCCTCAACACATAATATTCAAGACGAACCCCGTTGCCATAGCAACAACAATCCGACGAACGTAGGGTCCCTGGAACATCTACATGCCGCGAACATGCGGTCTTACCATTATACGCCTTTTTCACGAATCGGTAGACATCTTGAAGTGATGACAAACATTGCGAATCAGCGGTGCGTAACCAACAGAAATAAGATAAGCTTTTGGGCTGATTTTCTGACATCATGTTATTTATGGGCGGATTTTCTGACATCATGTTATTTAAAAAATCATAACTCCATAACGGGGCGTCGTATCCAAAAAGTGTTTCCAGGAAAATGTTCTTAAAAGACCAGTCTACACCACTATATGATTGAAAAAAAATTGACCTCTGAAATCAAGATTGAAAAAGAAAAGCCTATCTTAGTAGTGTATTAAAATAGGCCAATGCATTACAGTGCAGTAGCATAGGACTTTCGAGTTGTTACTGTTCCAAGTAGCGATAATATACATATTTCTCTTATTACAAAGTACAAGTTATGTTTTATAAAGAGGTATAGTATAGTAAATCATGTTTTTAACACAGGAAACTCTCATATGGTAACTAAAACAATGCTAGTTCAGAGTATTACTAGTACTACAGCACTGTAATGCTGGTAATGCTGGAAATAAAAAGCTGGATTTCTCAATGGTACTTTGTTTATAAACACATCACACCGCATTGCCATGATTAGGGACTCCCCAAGGACTCCCCAGTAATGGCGTCGACAACAGAGGGCGCCATTCTTCTTGGATAGGTCTATAGTTCTCCAAAGACCCCTCCAATTAAAGACCACTTTTGTGGTCCCATATTAACAAGTGTATTTTATATATTTTTATTATTCTATTTAAAGACCAAAGCTGCTAAAGGCCATGTAAACACCGGTCACATCTGCTAAAGGCCATGTAAACACAGGTTACATCCCAAAAGTGGTATTTAATATTGGAGGGAGACCTGTATTTTTCTAAGTTTTCTGTCTCATAACTCCAATCTCAGGATGTCAGCAAATTATAATTATCATACAATAAACTTGTTTAAATTGTTTTCTTTTTGAAAATTTTGCGCTACGTAGAATTTTTTATATTTTTTAGGGAAGATTTTATGGCCTTTTTCAAGTAATTCGACGTGAACGTATACGTATTTTCTACGTTCTTTCACGTTTAAAGCCTGAACGTATTGATATGCCCACTAAGGATGATGGGAAGCATGCAGTTTCAATCTTTCATGACTTTGGTCGGTATCTACC